GTGGGGGAGACGGGCGGTGGAGAAATCCAATAAATAAATAAAATAAATAAAAATAAACTCATTCATATCTCCAAGAATCAAAATGTCTCCCTCTGCAATTTTAAGAAGTAATTGGAAAACTTTTTCATAACATTTTGTTTTGTCATCATTTGGATCTTAAATTGATGCAGTTATAATACTCTCTTGTTTGGTCTGAAATCATAATAATCAGAATCTCCATTCTGAATCTGTTTTTACAAATTCCACCATAAGTACTCCATTTCATTTTCTGTCCACTAGAGGCCACAAAATATTTCCATCATAGCAAATTACCTATGTCTTTTTAAATACATGTCTCTTGAAGACAAATAATATTGGCATTTTCCTTTGTTAATTTCAAATATATATATATTTCCTTTAAATGGACTATTCAGTCCATTAATATATTTGTTGATAATATTTTGATTCGATCCATGATGTTAATTATCAATTAAATTGATGAAAAGAAAGCTGCTGTTTGATCCAGGCTTTGATCTTCTTTCTGTTCTGGATCATTTTTGGCTTGTTCTATTGCTGTTAATAGCTCAAGCATTTAGTAGGATCCTCTGTTGAGTTTAGAAAAGTTTTGCTGCTATCCGTAAAAACCTTCACACGAAGCAGAGTAGTCCACTTGTATTTGATCTTTTTTGCTTGGAGACAAGATGTCAAAAAATGCATATCTTCACTTTCTAAATATGTCTGGAGGGACATCTAATAAAATCTCTATTATTGTATCTTCAAGCTTTAAAGGGATGTCAGAGCTTTTTGATTGCAATGCTCATCCTTTCTTTTTAAATATGTAAATTTGATGAGTACATTACATGGTAAGTTTTTCTACACGTTATGAGTTTATTCTATAGATTTTTTTGAATTTCTAATGGTTCAGATTTGTCTAGATCAAGTTATTGTTTAAGTAGATGTTCCACTTCTATTTCCAAATAATTTCTTCCAAAATATTCTGGTATTCCTTTGATCTTTAAACTGTGTCTGCACAATTCTATTTCTACTATTTGTAATCTTGCCTCTAACTTCTTATTTTGTGACCTTTGAATTCTCTGCTCTGAAGATAAATCTTGGTGTTCTATAGGCATTTGTTTAATCTGTTTATCCTGCTGTCCTAGTTTAGATGCCATTTTAGCATGTTTATCATTTAAATCAGCCTTAAATTAATTCAGTTTGACTTCTAAAACTTGTTTTTGTTGGATCAACTTAATTATATTTTTCTGACTTCTTAAATTTTAAATATTTTTTCATTTAAACTTATTTACTTCATGTAAATCAGTCTCTAATTTGTGATATAGTAACAAGTGAACCAGATTCTATTAATTGTTGCTAGTTATATCAGAGCTCTAACAGTTACATTAACTATTTTCAGATCTTGGAAATGAAAGTGCTAGGCAAGTTCATAAGTTCCCAGCCAAAAATAGGCAAACAGAAATCTCCACTTTCTCTGAAAAAGTTCTCATAATAATTCTCCTATATGATATTATGTGTAATAAACAATCAGTTGCTTCATTAAAGTGATAATTTAAAAAATCCTCATCTCCCACTTTGAAAGTATAGGCAAAGGAGTAAAGTCGATTTTTCTAATTTTTTAGGAAGCTAAGCCACTACCTTTCACTACCTTTCAGATCTGTATGGACATATCTTCTCCTCACCAAATCAAATGAATTTAAATAGTATTTACAACTTACCTTGTGGTACTGTGGAGTCACCGAGGAACTTAGTAATGGTGTCACTTTGCAGAGTTTTAGTAGAATACGATGGTTCTGTAAAAGGCAAATTGTCTTTAAGTTCCTTGTTAAATGTGGAAATTCAATGCTTCATTGGCTAGATGCCACCAGAAGAGGTAAAACTGAAGTGCAGACTTCATTTGGATAATACAAATTCAATACTATAAAGAGAATACTATAAAGGAACAAATCTAACACTCACATTATTTGGAAAGGTTTTCCTAATAACTTTCCTATATTAAATTATATAAAGCTGATATTTCTACTTCTTTATGTAGCTCAACCATGATTATTCTTTGGATTTCAAATAAGTATGGTTCTACCTTCCTCAGACCAAATACAAATAATTTAGAAAGTGTTTATAATTTACTTTGTGGTGCTGTGGAGTCACGGATGAACTTAGTAGTAGTACCACTTTGCAGGGTTCTGGGAGAATGCAAGGATTCTGTAGAAGACAAATTGTCTTTAAATTCCTTGTTCAGTGTGATAATTCAACACTTTGTTAGCAGATGCCACCAGCAGAGGTAAAACTAAAATGCAGACTTCATTTGGATAATACAAATTGAATACTATAGAGGGAACACTAAAGAACATATCTAACACTTCACATTATCTGGAAAAGTTCTCCTAATAAGAATAACTTTCCTGTATTAAATTATATAAAGCTGATATTTCTACTTCTTTATGTAGCTCAACCATGATTACTCCTTGGATTTGAAATAAGTATGGTTTTACCTTTCCCACACCGAATGCAAATAATCCAGAAAGTGTTTATAACTTACTTTGTGGTATTGTAGAGTCACGGAAGAACTTAGTAGTATTACTTTGCAGAGTTTTAGTAAAATGCAAGGGTTCTGTAGAAGACAAATTGTCTTTAAATTCCTTTTCAATGTGATGATTCAGTACTTCATTAACTAGATGCCACCAGGAGGGGTAAAACTAAAATGCAGACTTCATTTGGATAATACAAATTCAATACTATAAAGGGAACACTAAAGAACATATCTAACACTTCACATTATCTGGAAAGGTTTTCCTAATAAGAATAACTTTCCTATATGAAATTATATAAAGCTGATATTTCTACTTCTTTATGTAGCTAAACCATAATTACTCCTTGGATTTGAAATAAGTATGGTTCTACCTTTCCCACACCGAATGCAAATAATCTAGAAAGTGTTTATAACTTACTTTGTGGTACTGTGGAGTCACGGAAGAACTTAGTAGTAGTACCACTTTGCAGGGTTCTGGCAGAATGCAAGGATTCTGTAGAAGACAAATTGTCTTTAAATTCCTTGTTCAATGTGATGATTCAACACGTTATTGGCTAATGCCACTAAGAGGGATAAAACTAAAATGCAGACTTCATATGGTTCATACAAATTCAATACTACAAAGAAAACACAAGTGTCAACTTCACATTATTCAGCCACAATTATTTATCAGATTGAAATCTGTATGGTTTTACTTTCCCACACCAAATACAATAATTTAGAAAGTGTTTATGACTTACTTTGTGGTACTGTGGAGTCACTGAATAACTTAGTAGTATTACTTTGCAGGGTTTTAGTAGAATGCAAGGGTTCTGTAGAAGACAAATCGTCTTTAAATTCCTTTTCAATGTGATGATTCAGCACTTCATTAACTAGATGCCACCAGGAGAGGTGGTATGAAATTACGTATATAAAGCTAAGTTTTCTACTTCTTGATACAGTTAAGCCACTACATTTCACTGGATTTGAAATCTATATGGTTCTCACCAAATCCAATCTAATCAATCAATTAATCAAACAAAAAAATGCTTATAGCTCCTTTTGTGGTACTGTAGATTAACTGATGATCCTAATAGTGATATTACTTTGCAAATTTTCAGTAGAATGCTAGGGTTTTCCGGCACAGAATTTGTCTCTAAATGCATTGTGAAATAAAACACATTAAGGGAGCTTGTTTAAAATTATAAACTGAAGCAATTTAAATCCTGAGAATAAAAATGCTTTTGATAAATATCCCACTGTGTTTTTGTCCCCACCCAGGAATGTTATCTGGAACTGGGTGGGAAAGTACCATCTTTTTGTACAATATTGCACAACATTGCCTGATGTTCAAGCCAGGACAAATTAAAAGTAAAGGAGATGCTTTTTAATCTTGAATCCACATTTCATACTTTTATGTGGGAATAGATCTCATTTTTGGTATCTCCTTGGATTTTAGAAATTAGCTCTTTGACATTGGCTGTAAATCTGGGAGGAAAAGACAGACAGTAATTAACATTCAGCATCTAAGTAACTTCTAGTACTATACACATAAAAAAATTTTCCTATAGAAATTAAGCATGAAATAGCTACTTCTTGAATTATCACTAATAAAGTTGAATGAAGAACTTTTAAAGCAAAAAGCAAAAAGTAGAGGAATACCACTGCCTTGTTCATTTTGGTAAGAGATTTGTGACACAGCAAGAATAACAAAATCGTGTGAAACCAATAGGAGATTTAAGTCATGACCATAATCCAGAGCACATGGATGTAATATGAATGCAAAACACTTAAACAAATTTAATGTCATACCCGAGCCTTCCCCCAACTTATTTCCTCCAGAAATGTTGAACTACATAACTATAAGATATGTAGAAATTACAACCAACAGTGTTGATTGGAGTGACAAAAGCGTTGTGTCACAATACTGTGTCTCAAACTATACCTATTTGGGGCAAGTGTGCAATATTGTAATGTATGTATAAAAGGGGTGCAGCTTGCATTGTGGTACTGTGACACTGGGCTCATCAGTCTCACATCAACGCATGATGAATCTCAGATTCTGGAAATAGAAATACAACATATCCGGAGGCAGTTAAGTGAGGGAAAGTTGCCTTATTCAATAAGCACAGATATTGCATAGAAACAGTGCAAATAATAATAATAAATAATAATAATAATAATAATAATAATAATAATAATAATAATAATTTATATTCATGCTGAGCTGTGCCAATCATTGAACTAAATAAGGAAATACATTTCTGTGTACGCATATAACATTTCTGCAAATGCGGGATCAGGAAAATGTGGTATAAATCTAGATAAAATAGAAATATTAAGATTCTATCGATCTTACTTTAATATCCATAGCTAAAAGTATATTTTGAATCTTCCTGCTGTCCATTATCATTTTCTAATGAAGATTAATTAGGGTGCTTCAAAAATACAGCTATAAGGTAAGCTTACCTAGCACTACATATAATATAAGGAAACAAGTCACAAGGAGCTGAAGGATAGTAATAATAACAGCAGCAGCAGCTGTTTGGTCTCCTTTGTGCACTGCATTAAATCCCATTGTTATGAAATGCAGTGTTTGCCCTACAGAAAGTTTAAGCCAACATAACCAAATGCTCAGCAAACAGCTGACTATGTATCCATCTGGACCATGGCAGTTCTTAATGTAATTTCGCATGTGCACAATGGCTCCCAGGAAAGACAGATCTGAGGAATATTTTAAGTTTCATCTCAAATCGCTCCAGGCTTGCAAAATATTCTATTCTATTCTATTCTATTCTATTCTATTCTATTCTATTCTATTCTATTCTATTCTATTCTATTCTATTCTATTCTATTCTATTCTTTGATGCAAATAGGAATATGAGAAAATTTGGAAAAGAAATGGGCTAGCTAAATCCATAACTTGTCTAGAAGGGGGAAAAAGACTACAAAGACAAAACAAGTTATGCTTTCTTTTGAAATGTTGAAAGACAATAGAACTTGATGCAACCATTAACGACTGCATATTTTTTATTGCTGATTTATAAAAAGCAATATAAGAATGGAGGATAAAATTTGCCCCATTCTTTATGCGTTTTTGGAAGCTTTCCCCATAAACAGCATAGATGGCTTGATACTTTTCCCTGAAGCATACTAAGGATAAATGAATAAATGAACTGAATAAGTGTTCAGATAACAAGATTGGTGTATGACTGAAGTTTTATTGTGGACGTATAACAAGCATACTACTTAGTATGGACTTACTTTCTGAAGGAGAATCTGATACCACAGATACTTCCAAGACTTAAAAAAGTGTAGTCTGATTAAAATAACCATGGCTTGAAATACAGTGGATGAAATCGCTCATTCAGAGCTTTAAAAAATGCTATAAATCAACTTATCTGATGCTTGCAATAGTTCCAGACACATTTTTTATTGAGTACTCAGCCCGACTTGATCACAAAAAGTGTACCTTTCCCATTTTCTGACCCCTTTTCTTCCCACAAATATCTACAATATCTATTAAGGAAGGAAAGACAGAACAACTATAAAGTTACTTTTTATTGCATATAAGAAGCCATACGTTTGGAAACATCTTTGAACTGCAAAAACAATGACACACACAGGATTTTACATCAGCATTTTTATTGATACAAGTAGTCCTATGTGTGCCTATGTTTTGTATGCCTCACAGATATGAGACAGATATATTGATATTGTCTGCAGTTTTCTCTAATGAAGGTATTGCAACTTTTACTTTCTATTTTTTAAAATAAAAGTAACTTACAATAGTTGTAGCTGATGGAATACTTTTCATAACACTATTTTATTTTGGCGTTGATGTTTATACCATTACTTTGCCAAGTCTTTAAAGCACAGATAATATTTCATAGATACCAATAAACAGATACTTACTTTCTGTGGGGGAATCTGAAATTGCAGTAATGTGATTAATGAATTCTGAATATGCCAATGATGTAGTCTGAAATTCTATTTAAAATAATAACTAGTTAAGAGAGTGGGTAATCCTTAAGGACAGCATCATGATAATCAACAGGCTGATATGATTCTTGGTATACTAACTAATAAAATATCACAAATCATGGGTTTTCATTATAGATGTAGTGTTCCCACTGATAGATAAGATAGTAAAAGTGAAAAGAGAATTGAAACCATGTAGAATTACTTTAAAATTCAAGGAAACCCAGAAATACTATGAAAATTTTAAATTATGGCAATCAAAATCAGAGAAGCAGGATGGCTTTTAGGGGAACATCCAAAGTATTGTAACTTACTAGGAGAAAATTAAAATTATTACACACACACACACACACACTGTGTATGTATAAATTTAAATTGGTAGCCGGTACTATTTGATCAATGCCCAAAATTTGAGACATCATAGTTAAAGCAACTACACTTGGTTAAATTTATTTTTAGCTGTGTACAAGTAAGTGAGGAGCAATTAAAGAAATTGTAAATTGTAGCTGGAACCCGATCTGAAGTCAGACTGAATTATGAGTAGAAGCCATCTTGGCAGTCTTTATTTAATATTGTCCAATGGGACAACTGCTAACTTCCTCTGCCTTTTCTGGAACCCATCAGGTGGACAAGGACATTTACAATGCACTAGATTCAGAAAAAAGACCTGTTCAGATATTCAGTTGAACTCATGGAAAGCTCAAAGAGGCTAGAAAAGAGAAAGTACACAATAGCACTTTTTCTCTTTCTTTCCAACCTGTTTGAATTCAGCTGGAGGCCTGGAAGGAAGCTATAATGTATCTACAGCTATCCATGCAATTGGGAGAACCTGTTTTATAAGCCCCTGGATTGCATGAAGAGGTGAATCAAGCCAATTATTTAGTTACTTCCCCTTCAGACTTCCATCTATAAATGTACAGGTTGGGGAACCTGGGTAAGAGTTTTTGGATTATCTGACTTGAAGTCTCCTCATGTTCAGATGGATTCCTCAACTGCATTTGCATTCATTGAACACAGCACATATTGAGACTATGCCAACTTTAGATCCTGCGCAATGCGATGAGAAGAAACAATATCCATGAGCAATTGCTTAAAGTGCATGACTGAGATTGCTGGTGACTGGAAAATATATTCCAGTAAACTGTTGATCTCTAGACCTAAATCTGCCTCAAAATTCAGACTTCACATAGTTGCCAGTACAACTGAAGAAAGAACGGTGTAGCTGCTGAATATACAACAATTTCCATAGTAGGATGAACATAGACTGTACTATGCTTTCTATGAAGGAAAGTATTTATATTTGCTTCTGCAGATTTCGCATTGTCAAAAGTGTGTTTGACTGAACATATATGCATGAGATACCACTTGGATGATAAATGGCTCCTAATTTCCTAATGTGACTTACCATGAGGAATAATTATTTCTTTAGATGAAATATTCCATCTTTCATTTCTAGTGAAATGGTACACAGACATGCATCTGAAGGCCTGATTAATGGATGAATGAGTTGTATTCCATATTGACAAGAATGATCTCCTCTCATATAAACTTCCTATACGTTTTATACCTTTATTTTCAATTAAGAACCCTTTGGAAGGAAAAAAAAAATGGTAAAAAGAACATGAGTTTTCCCCCTACATTCCTTCCTATAGCTATAACTATTTAAATATGTTCATGAAAGCAAACTGTATAATGCTTAATTAAATAACCAAAATAATATATTTATCATTTTTATTTATAAAACACCTTAAGAAGCAGGTAGTATTCAGCAATTGCATCCGAAGATTACAAATATTGTGTGGAAATTTATAATCCCCAAAGACATCACAGTAAGAAGGTGATCAGAAAAAGCAGAAGTTTAGATTGGTTTGATAAAAAATAGATATATTCTAAAAGAGAAGTATGGAAGCTGCAGCTTTTCAAAAGTTTTTGTATTACCATATTCCTCCCCAATAACCATGCTAGCTGGAAGAGATGCCAGATGGAAAGATTACAGGTCCCTGTCCTATTCCTGAAGAACTTGATACCTAAATTTAGTGGTTGTGCTCTTGTTTTATACTTGTCATGCCAGGTAGAACAATAATTTGCATTACCTTCAGATTTTTCATTCAGAATCTCTTCACCCATGTACCATATAAGTTGTGGCTTTGGATATGCCTTCTTTATCACACATGTAAAATTTGCCTAAGAGAAAATAAAAAGAAATCAAATCAGCAGTTTGAATTTGAAGTTATTCTTTTCCTATTTATCCTAAAGCTAAAATACTTTATTCTATATCTGCTTCTGGATAAAAAGGTTAGAATTTGACACTACCTTGTAGAATAACAGTGTGACATTCCTTAAATTAAGAATAGAGATGGTCTCTTATTCAAAGCACAGTCTGTCCAACTGTTGGTTTAAAGACTAATGGTTAGCAGCTCTTTCCTCCTATAGGGTTGCACAGTTGTCTATGATGGGGAAAGTTGGAACTTAGAAAATGACCTTAGACCCATACTTCACAGAGGACAGAGTGGTTCACTGCTACTCATGTTGTGAATTGTAAAACTTTTTTGTAACACCTGAAAGGGTTTTTTTTTTTTTTTTTTGTCTGCGCTCAGTCATTGCTGACCCTGCAGTGACTGCTTGGA